TGCCAAGACCCTGATGAGAAGGAGCAGGAGGAAGGTCTGTATTTTGTCTCCTCCTTCTCCCATCTATCTTCCCCTTTGTGCTTTCGGCTGAAGGCAGTAGCAGAGATTTTTGAGGGAGTAACAGAGATTTTTGAGGGAGCAGCAGAGATTTTTGAGGCAGTGGAGGGTTTTTCCCTGCTTGTCTTATTCCAACAGTAGCGGGTGCTGGCCAGCATGGAGCAAGCTGGACTTATCCGTGCCCTGTGGACAGGTTGTGTCCCCATCTATGAGCTTCCTGGCCACAGGGGACATCCAGTGGTCAGTCCTTTGCTCCTCTACCTTGCAAAGTGAGGAGAGATGGCAAGAGCCATGGGTCAGACCTGAACATCAACAATCCAAATCTCATGCTAGAGGGTGGAAAAGGGGGATGGAGGTAGAGAGCACCCAGCATCTCCGACACCCAGGAGAGCTGATTTGTTTTCTTCTCATGTCCTCTACAAGTGCCGATTTCTTCTGTAACCAAGGAATCACCTCTCTTCAGGGGAAGGGAGATGAAAGGTTGGGTGGCCATGGTGGTTGCCTCTTCAACAGCACATGGAGAGGGCTGTGAAACACAAGCCCCTCTGTCCACCTGACCCAGTTGGGCAGGATAGTGATGCTCCAACCCATAGCAGGTTCCACGTGGGACCAGCATCCCACCAGCACCCTCATGCTCCCACGGGGAGCTTTTTCCCCAGCCCCTCCAGCTTTCACCAGTGTGGTGAAGCTCAAGCATATGCTGCTGCTGCAGAGAGCAGAAAATGAGCCAAGAGCCTGCTGTGCCCTGATCTGCTGGCTCGAAACAAGCTGCAAAGAGCCTTGGGGCTACTTGGCTGTCACGAAAATGGTGTGGATGGAAGGAAAAGTCTAATTGACTAAACAATGGCCTCCGCCATCTGATTAAACTAACTGTGACTCTACCTGCATGGGTCAGAAGTGATTTGTGTGGCTGGTCATCACTGACAAATAAGAGGTGTGAAAGGATTTCTTACATGTGTTTCCACAGGTGATTTTGCTGTTTCATTTCAGGCAATTTTTATACCCTTGAAATTTTTGGTTTCTGTCAAATTTGAGGAGACTGTTAATATTTCACACTGAAGCAGGGTGAAGCGAAAAGGTCACTGTTGTTAGCAGCTTCAGGCGGCAGCGTTTCAAGTGGCAGTAGTGCTTTTCCAGGGCCATTTTCTTATTTGAAGTTAAATTCCTGAAAAAAAAAACCAAAACAAAACAAAACCAAAAAGGAGGTTAAAGACTGTTTTCCAGGTTAGAAAAGACCTTCAAGATCACCGAGTCCAACCATAAACCCAACACTACTAATTCCACCTCTAACCCATGTCCCTCAGCACTGTGTCTGCACCACTCTGAAATCCCTCCAGGGATGGGGACTCCACCACTGCCCTGGGCAACCCCTTCCAATGCCTCAGAACCCTTTCAGTAAAGAAATTCTTCCTCACATCCCATCTCAACTGCCCTGGCCACAACTGGAGCCCATTTCCTCTTGTCCTGTCACTTGTTGGACAGAGCCAGAAGGTCTCCCCTCAGCCTCCTTTTCTCCAGGCTCGACACCCCCAGTTCCCTCAGCCGGGAACTCATCACACTTGTGCTCCAGACCCTTCTCTGGGTACCACACAATTGTTTTTATTGACTTGAACAGCAGCAGATCAGGCCTTCTGCACCACTCTGTGAAACTCGGGTCACTACTTCACTGCCAGGGATTTATGACCCTAGCTTTCAGGGATTGTTTTGAAAGTCTTGGCTTTGGAATATGATGTATTTAGAAGAAGCCGAATGAGAAACCTCCTATAGTGTCATGTTTAAACTCTTTGACCTTATTTTCAAGTCCTTGCGGAGCAGAGCCCACCTCCAGCTTGTAGCTCTGCTTTTATTGATTATCATTTCGAGTCCTTCAGATGTTCTGCTGTGCCCAAAGCGCCGTGTGCTTTTCAGAACGAATAACGTGACATGACAGATAACTCTGCTCTCTCTAGGCTGTCAGCACAGGGCAGAGCTGGAGGAGACCCATGTGGGTCAGTGCATTTTGTCCTGGTAGGATCACTTGTCCAGCGTGTGAGCTGATGTGGGAACACAGGAGTCAAACCTGGAGCAACTGATGCCTGTAAATTTTCCTGGTCAGAGCTGCATGTCTGGGGAAGGACATGGCATGGTCAGGCTGTGGGACATGTGGGAGCCCTTCTGCCCTAATCATCCATCCCTGTGGGAGAGAGGACAGTGGGTGGTGTGAACCTTCAGTGGGTCCTCTTGACTGTTTTCCTAGTTCTTGACTGTGGAGAAAGCTTTATAAAACCAGTTAATTCTTTCTGAGCTGGAGATGAAAGACCTTACTTCTCAGTTAAGAAGAACCTGCCAGTATGGTCTGCTGCCCCTCTATCATCCTATCCCAAGTATATGAAATATGAGGTGTGATCATCTAACTGCAGGATCGCTCCAGAACTGTGGCAGCAAGAACAGAGAAAGAGCAGAGGGAGAGAAGAATATAGACATATTTATTAAAGAGAAGCTTACCTACTGGTTTTTGTCTCAGAATAAAAAAAGTGAGTCAAAATGGCTTCTGCTGAGCCTAATTTGTTCTGTCTCCAGGCAGAGCTAATTATCCCGACTTAGCCCAGCTCTGAATTCTTCCCAGGGGTTTTGGTGCTATTTCTTCTGTTTTGATTTATAAATTGCCTTTATTTTACTTTCCTCCTACACCTTCCACATAATCTTTTTGCTCCCTGAGGATCCAGGAGCTGGTGTGGCAGTGCTATCACAGGGTGTAGGACAGAAAGGGGATCGATCCATCAACCAAAGCCTTTGCTTTGGGTGTCCAGCAATGCTTTCTTCTGGCGTCTGCCTCGTGAGCTATGTGAATAGCTCCCGTGTCTCTTCTCCCCAGAAGGCTTTTATGTTCTACCAAGTACTTTCTGGGCTTACCTGCAACCATCCTTGGGGTAGAGGAGTTGTGAGCCTCAGGGCTGGCTTTGGTCACAGCCTTCATCCCACAACAAAGAGTTTTCTGGCTTCTCCACTGATGTACCAACATGAATTACAGGGGTTTTTTTTGGTTCAGCCATTCCTTTCACAGTTGACACAATTGTTTTCTAACCTCAGTGATAAATTGAGTGGGGAAAGGAAATCCATCTGCTGTGATGATGGGATGGCAATTGTAGTAAGCAGGAGCCAATGCTGCCATTGAGCCTGGGCTTGGGAGAACATCTCTGCTCAGGACACTTTAGAAACACTAGTTAATGCATCTCCCAAGCATCCCATGGGGAAAATTGATACTGTTTGCTTAGGAGACACAACTGCCAAGGGAAAGCTCCTCAAGCCAGGCCAGCATCTTCATAGCATTGCTTTGTTTCCTGACGTACCAACTCGGTTTTTCCTTTTTCTTTTTTTTTTTTTTTTTTTTTCTTTTTCTTTTTTTTTTTTTTTTTTTTTCCTTTTCCTTTTCCTTTTCCTTTTCCTTTTCCTTTTCCTTTTCCTTTTCCTTTTCCTTTTCCTTTTCCTTTTCCTTTTCCTTTTCCTTTTCCTTTTCCTTTTCCTTTTCCTTTTCCTTTTCCTTTTCCTTTTCCTTTTCCTTTTCCTTTTCCTTTTCCTTTTCCTTTTCCTTTTTCAATATGGGAACAATGTCAACAGGCTTCTCTGGGACACTGTGGCACTGGTCACCTTTCCAGCCTCTGGTGGAGGCTTAAATTCAGCTCCATGTAAAATGGGCTGAGAACTGTGTGAGAGCCAACACGATGCCAGTCCCAGACCCTGTCTTCTGCACTGGCCGAGGGCAAATCCTGAGGGAAGAGGATAAAAGTAGGGAATGATACTACCTGGGCAGATACCCTCAACCTTCAACAACTTTCAGCTCAGGGATTTCCTGAACTGCAGTGGCAGCTCCTGTTGGATTTTCCTTCCATTATTTTCCTCTTAATTTCCTTTTTGAAGCCATGTAAACTTCTTGGCATCCAGCAGGTTCTGGGTTGGGGAGTCTTGCTCCATAGCTGTGTGTTTGGTGGAATATCATCTTCTGCTCTTTTTGAACCTAACACCTGTTGTCTGGATTTAATCCCCCATAATGCTTGTGCCAGAAATGATGAATACGCATATCCTGTGACACTGGTACATTTATAGACCCCCTCCCCATCAGTCACCTCTTCCACAAGATGATGGATCCTTGTTCATTTCAGTCTTTTCTCACATGGAAGGTGTTCCATGCTTTGAAGCATCCTTTTGGTTCTCCTCCATGCCCTTTTCTGACTCTACGATAGCTTCTGTAAGGGGAAGGGAGAACTGCACTTCATTTCCAAGACACGAGTGTAATATTGGTTTAGACACCGGTCTGGTAAAGTAGCCTGTTCATAGAATGATGGAATCCCAGGCTGGTTTGGGTTGGAAGGGAACTTAAAGCTCATCCAGTCCCAACCCCCCTGCCAGCAGCAGGGACACCTTCCACTAGACCAGGATGCTCAAAGCTTCATCCAGCCTGGCCCGGGGAGGACCAGCCACAGCTTCTCTGGCCAACCTGGGCCTTAAAGGTGGGGGTGGGTCTGTTCAACCAAGGAGCAAGGGACAGGACAAGAGGAAATGGGCTCCAGTTGTGTCCAGGGCAGTTGAGATGGGATGTGAGGAAGAATTTCTTTGCTGCAAGGGTTCTGAGGCATTGGAAGGGGTTGCCCAGGGCAGTGGTGGAGTCCCCATCCCTGGAGGGATTTCAGAGTGGTGTAGACACAGTGCTGAGGGACATGGGTTAGTCGGGGACTTGTCAGTGTGGGGTTAATGATTGGACTTGATGATCTCAAAGGTCTTTTCCAATCGAGGCAGTTCTGGGATCCTGTAAGCCCACTACACTAACACAGGGCACCTTCTTTCTCTACTTTCTCCTCAGGAGCTTTGCCCAGCGCTTCCCATTTCACCTGTGCTCAGCCAGGGTGGAGGTTGCCCTTCCTGCTCCTCCAGCCCCTGAGCCAGAGCAGCTGTACGCCTGAGTCACGATGGGCAAGATGGACAACACCTCTGTGGAGCTGAGCTCTCCCTCTGAGGTGAAGCAGGCAGCCCTGGAGGAGTTGGACCCCATCGCCCCCAAGGCTGCGAGCACCAAGAAGAAGAAGGAGATCCCAGACAGAGGCTCCTGGAAGGGGAGATTTGACTTCTTGCTGTCCTGCGTGGGTTATGCTATCGGGCTGGGCAACGTCTGGCGCTTCCCATACCTCTGTGGCAAGAACGGAGGAGGTGAGAGAAACGCTCAGCACTTGTGAGCAGCCTCGTCCCCTACACGGGCTGCGGTCTGGTGTGGGTCTGGGCAAGCGGCCGGTCCCCTGGCTGAGAGGTTGCCCTCATGATGTGAGTCATTAAGCTGTGAGGAGATTAGTTCTCATGGTCTGTGGGCTTTGCTAGCAAGTGTAGGTTGGGAAGAAGCAGCCCAAAGAAATGTAACTAGAAGTTTGAGTTTTGTCAAGTTTCTGCAGTCCAAGTTTGCAGTCTGTGCTGGTGGCACTGGGCTGGCACTGGGCTGGCACTGGGTTGGCACTGGGCTGGCAGCCAAACCCAGCCACCCGCTCACTGCCCCCACCCAGGGGAGAGGGGAGAGAACTGGGGAGCAAGGGGAAGGAGACTCCTAGGGGGAGATAACAACAATTACATCATTGACATAAAAGAAAACTTAACATAATAATGATATTAAAATAATAATGATAATAATAATAATAGTAATAAAATATGCAATTGAGTGCTACCCAGTGCCATTGCTCACCACCCGCTGACCAAGCCCGGCCCGTTCCCATATGATATGGAATAGCCCCTTGGCAGAGCCCAATGCACATGGAGCTGATTAATTTCAATATTCCTCACCCCCCAGATCTTCCACTTGTAGACTGGCAAAATACAAAGTCCTTCAACTTCCAGCAACAACTGAAAACATCGGTGTGTTCTCAGCGTTTCTCTCCTAACAAATCCCAGCTGAACCCAAACCCCAGCACTGTTCCAGCTGCTGAAAAGCAACCTAACTCTGTCCCAGATAAAAACCAGGACATGAGGCTACAGCCAAGAGTGTCTGGAACCTCATTTATTTACAAGGCGGACTATGCACATAGGCACCTACCTGGGTGCTGGGGTGTTCCCAGGAAAATCAGTTTATATCTGCTAATATGGTGGGTTTCACCTCAGTTCAGTGCATTCTCAAAGGCAGCAGTTTTGTATCTGAGTCTGGGTGGCATGCCTGAGGAGTTTAGATTAGAAGCCTTGCATGGACCATCGCAGGGCCGTGTAGACATGGATGCAGGTGCTCATACGTATGGACATAAACACAGAGACGTGTGAGTGCCATCATCCATGGAAGGAAAGGAGCTTTAATGGACTAGAGTGCTGTAAGAATGGTCACACTTATGGTCTCCATCCTAAAGTTTTGAAAACAGAGGCCACGAGAGAAGGTGGCAGCTGGTGAAGGACCTAGAGTAACTGTGGTGCAGCTGGGAGCAGGGCCCTCCTCTGCACTCAGCTAACGCCGGCTTTCTAAGTTCTTTTTGTTATTGCCCCACTACTTCCTTTCCATAGCAGTCCTGAGCTGAGATTTTGCCAAAGCAGAGAAAGGTAGGGAGATGGAGGAACAGTGCTGGGCTACAAATCAAGAGATCTGAGAGATCAGCTCCTTCTGCATGTCTTGGATCAAGGCAGAAAACACACTCCTGTGCCTCAGCTCTCCTCTACGATGGTGCGATTTCCTCAGCCATGGCAGGGAGATGCTTTTGTGGAAGGGAGCATGAGCTGCTTGGTGTCAGCAGAGCAGCAGCTCTTTCTTCTCCCCACTCCCACCCCATGCCCAGCTGTCCCGTTGTTTGTGCCTTGAACCATTCCCCAGGCTTCCCACACAAGTCCAAACCCTTCTGCCTCACCATTAAGGCTGTGTATATAATTCTACTGTCACCTGCTAGTCATCCCCTGCTGCTCTTCACTTCCCTCTTAGCTCTTCACTGCCCAGAGTCCCTGTCCCCAGTGCCACGTTCACTCATGCTGCTCTGAGGGTCTCTTCTCACACTTCTTCTCCACACCTTTTTTTTTCTTTTACTTTTGTCTTGAATTCCCTTGTCAAAACCCACTTTGTCTTTGGCTCTCCTGACTTCTCCTTATATCACCAGCCCTCTTCTGCTGTCCATGGAGCTGGTGGTGTAGGATGCTCTTCTCCTATGGCCCTGGGAAAGAGGAGAAGGGTCTAACTCCCTGCCCATGTAGCTCCATGGCTTTTTGAGAGATCTTGGCCCTTTCTCTGAGGCACATGGGACAAGTCCCCATGGGCAGACTGGACAGTTATCCGTTTGGACAAGAAGATTTCTAATTCAGTTTTGTGCAGAGACGCAAATGTGGCTGGGGCCAAGTCTGGTTTATGGGCATCAACCAGGTCTACCTAGGGGACACTGTGCCACCACAGCCAGAGCCACACTGTGGGTCTGCTATTTTTATCTAGCCACCCTCCAGCACCTGACTGTGCTAGCCATCCTCATAGGACATTAAGCCAGGGACTAAGTCCCAGCCTGGGACTGGTTTTTAGCCCCATCTCTGCCCTACGATCGCTGCATCATCTCAAACACTCCCGGATCCATGCTGCCCACGACTCCATCTCCTCACACCTAAAGGTGGGGATGACAATATCTATAATTAGATGAGAGGTGTTTCAAAGCTAAAATTAATCCTACTTATGAAGTCAGCTGAGATCCTAGGACAGAGGGTGCTGTGGAGGTGCAGAGTGCTCTCAGCAATATTATGACCTGGTCTGACTGTTCACAAGCACGACTGTTCCCGCTGCCGGCAACAACAAGGAGCAAGCGGAGAATCATAGAATAGTTTGGTTGGAAAAGACCATTATGATCATCTAGTCCAACCATCATCAGATGCTGATGCTGGAGACAGGCAGGAGAGCTGACACATGCCAGCGTCACTGGGAGAGTGCTCTCAGCAATATTATGACCTGGTCTGACTGTTCACAAGCACGACTGTTCCCGCTGCCGGCAACAACAAGGAGCAAGCGGAGAATCATAGAATAGTTTGGTTGGAAAAGACCATTATGATCATCTAGTCCAACCATCATCAGATGCTGATGCTGGAGACAGGCAGGAGAGCTGACACATGCCAGCGTCACTGGGAATTGGTGTGGAGCAGTGAGGAAGGGTCAGCGTGGGATTGACAATTGGGTGGGCGCCGTGGTGGCTCTGCCCTGCCCGTGGAGCAGAGCAGACTGTGGGTGGGGTGGGATTCTTTCATTCCAGCTGCTGGGAGCAGGGTTGGTGTGAGCTGCTCCCATTGCACACAGGCAAATTGAATGGAATGTGGAAATGTTGTCGTGTCGCTCACCACTGTCACATTCGATCGCTCACGGTTGATTTGCTCGGCGTTGTAATCAGGCACATCATTAGGGGATGTTCACCCAGGGCAGGGCTGCGGGGAGTGGGCTTTACCGAAAGCCACGCCTGGGCTCTGCACGCAGCTGAATGTGCCTGGCTATGATTAATGCTCCAGCTTCTACACTGATTCCTAACCTCCTGCAGCCCTTCTGATGTCAACAGCGTTTTACCCGCCTCTAAATTGACTCTAAATGTGGCTCAGTAGGTGCTAAAAATTATCCTGTGAGATCCTGAGCTTGAATAACTTGAGAGAAGAACGTTTCTTTAAATAAGCATCATGCGTTTCTCATTTACACGTTGAGACTCCGAGCAACGGCGTGGAACAGCTTGTAAGGCTCAGCTGTTGGGTTGTGGGCAGTTGTTGGCCTTGGAAGGATTCATTATTATTCCTCTCTGTAGGGCGTTGGGAGCTGGAGGCTGCAGGCAGATTGGGGGCTCACAGGCTCTGTACCATCCTTCCCCACCTCCAAGAGCCCAGAGCAGGCAGGGCAGAACCAGCACCATCACCCCATGGACTTTGGAGATAGGTTTGGACTCTCCCAAGGTTATACACAACTATTTGTAGCAGGCCTAGGAAATAAACCAGACCTTGCAGCAGCCTGTTCAGGGCCAGAGATTAAAGACTAGCCCTTTTTCTCTCTGTGCCAAGGATTTAGGCACAGGCATGCAAATTTTAAGTACAAATTTCCAGATTGATGTACGCCTCTGACTGTACAGCTGGGGATGTCACCCACACCTGCCTGGGGACCTGACCCTTCAGAGTGGCAGTGTCATTGCCAACAGCCCTCACTTTGAGGCTGTGGTCTGGTTTGTAGCTTTTCCCCTATTTTATAGGATTTTTATCAAACCAGGATAAATGACCCGAGTCCAAATGTTTGCTTTGTTCTTTTTTTTTTCCCCCTCAATACTCTAATAAAATCTTTTACCTACAAACCTTCCTATAGCTTGCTGTAGATGAAAAATGCAAAATCATCAGGGTTGTGACTAAATTTCATTAGCTGTTTGCACAGAAGCCATCCAGGTACTGTGACTGCTGGTAAGCTCAGTCCCCAAGCTCTACAATGAGCTCAGTCCCCAAGCTCTACAATGGAGCACAAAGGTAGCCTGGCATCATCTTTGTCCTCAGAGCGTTGGCTAGTGAGGAAGCAGCAAGGATGCCCATCCCACAGTGATGCTCAAAGCCGTTTGTTCCTCCACACCAGGCTGTTGGACAACCTAAGGGTCTGTATGTCCATGCCAGCCTGCAATCCAAGCTCACCATCATCGAGCTGCTGGCCCACAGTGTGTTTTCTCCTCTCCACCCACCACCAGCTCCTCCTGCCCGCTGCCTCCCGTGGACTCCCACGCTGGGTGCTGGCTCCTGCCTCTCCCAGCTGGGCTCAGCTCCTTGCTTTGGCAGGAGATGGATGTCCCCAGCTGGGTGTCCCCTGAGCCAGCATCCCTGGCTGTGCCTCGCTATGTCCCTGCCCATGGAGAGCAGCTGGTGGAGTCTGGCTCTGCCAGGTGGAAGCTGGGCTGCAGTTCTCCAGAGTGGCTTTGCTCGCTGGCTCTGGGTTTGCTTTCCCACTAATATCTGGAGAAGGCAACTTTGACAGCTCATCCAGCAGAAACCAGGACCGTCCTGGACACAGCCAGCTGCTTGTGAGCAAAGCGAGTTTCCCCTTCCTCTCCACAGCCATCATCTGCTGCTGGACTGTGTTGGGTTTCTGTGTTGGGGCTGGTTTTGGTAACGGGGGAAGGGGCTACAGTGTGAGAAGCTTCACAAAATTCCCCTGGCTCCAAGGTGGACCCACCTCCAGCCCAGGCTGAGCCAGTTAGTGACAGGGAAATGCCTCTGAGAATCCGTATTTGTGAGGGAAGAACTGGTTTGAAAAGAAAAAGGAAGAGAGACCCATCAGGAGAGACCATTGACTTGAACAATTTCCACCAAGAATTTTAAGGGTAAAACCTAGAGCGAGGGTTGGGAGATGTATGGGGCTGCTAGAAGGGTGGATACAGTCTTAGCCAGTTTCCTTATAAGACTGAAATATCCATAAACAAAAAAAGGAGTGGCCAATGACAGAAACTCCTGTGCCCATTTTCCCTCAAGGTGAAGAATTGGGAGCTGCTGGAACTTCCTGAGATGGGAAGTATCAACAAGAACAAGTTACCAGTGTCAGTGTCCAGGCTGTTGGGTTCATTGTCAGGTTGTGCTCAGCACTGAATATCTAACAACTGAGACTGGCATCACTAGCTATGTGATGTGCCAGCATATACATATATATGACACTTCTATATCCATAGTGAGAGGAACAGATATGGGGAAGACAGTGGTGATCTCAATAGAACTACCAAACAGACCAAATCCAGCTGCAAACTGTCACCTCCAAGCACGTCTACACCTCATGGGTGCTGCACAGGGAGAAACCACAGTTGGAGGCGTTTCCTTCTTGGTGAAAGGGGGAACCCTCTGCTGACATTGCTTCTTCTTTCAGGGGCCTTCCTCATCCCCTATTTCCTGACGCTGGTGTTTGCTGGAATTCCTCTGTTCCTGCTGGAAACCGCTCTGGGCCAGTATACCTCTGTTGGTGGACTGGGAGTGTGGAAATTAGCGCCCATGTTTAAAGGTACTGTACTGCAGGGCTGCAAAGAGGAGTGAGGGGCTGGAGCAACTTTTTTATGAGGAGAGGCTGAGGGAGCTGGGGCCGTTCAGCCTGGAGAAGAGCAACTGAGAGGGGATCTGATCAATGTTCATAAATGTCTAAAGGGTTGGTGGCCAAATGGATGGGGCCAGACTCTTTTCAGTGGTGCCCAGTGACAGGACAAGGGGCAAT